GGGGGAGATCAGATGAGTGGGAATGGGTGTGATAGATGCTACCCATTTTTGTAAATGGGTCGGATAGGGTAAATGGATTGAAATAATATTCATTTTTTGTTCCAGTCAAAGATTTCCACGTGGCCCAATTAAAAATCGCTACGTCATTAAATGAAAGACCCACCAGTTCTGCCGTTAGTCGCGGGGGTATTTTTGTTAATAAAATTAACTTCGTGTGTTTTTTTGAACGGATAGATGGACAGAGTGTATTTTTTTGAATGGATAGATGGACGGAGGGTATTTATAAACCATTTAGCAAACGATAGGGATAGTTTTGGTCCTTTTCCGAAGCATGTATAACTGTTTTACCCAAGAATAAAGAGAAGTCTCTTCATTGCATCATCTTGTCTTTTAAATTTCTTCTTTACATTTCTTAAGGAATTCCCTGCTTCCGATCCCCTAAAGGTCACGAGCCCAAGGGCCGTTTTAACCTGAGATCCAACAATTGCTCTCATATCGGGGACTGCCGTCCGGAAATAAACTCGCACGGTCTAAGCCATTAGACCTCGGGGCCATAAGACATATTAGGCAACCCCCGAATTTTAAAGGCCACGACCACCTTCACTCGGGGGATGTTATCTTAGGCAAGCCTAGATAACTCAGGAAAGCAAGCCCACTGGGAGACACCCGAACTAAAAGGTTACGGCCATATTAACACGGCTCGGAGACGTCCGAGTCCCGTAATAAAAATAAGGCCTTCAAAAACAAAATTTTCATAACCGGTTCTAAAGGCTACCCTCGATGAACTGTAATCTTAGCTACTTACTTTGGGAGGAAGTTTCTAGTAACACCGAACCCCCAAAATGCCTTAAAACAGAATAACGTAAAGGCAAGGTTTGTTCGAATCTTCGAACATAACCTAATTATTTTATGCTAAAGCATTTCGATCTTTGTGAATACAAATAATAAAGCAAAGGAAAAAATTAGAAAGCGATGAAAGAGAAAGAAAGCCTTATATATTTATACAAAATTCTTCTTACAAGGGCCAAATGGCCCCGATATAAAATTTTACAAAGGCCAAATGGCCTCAATGGAAAGAAAAAAAAATGAATTCATCTAAAGGACTAAGTGGCATGGTCCTCATCAGAGGCAGTATCTTCGCCCTCGGGATATCCTTCGCCTTTGGACTCGCTTAAACTCTCAGAGTCATTATCATCCTCGAGATAAGCCAACCTTTTAGCCTCAGCTTCGAGCTCCTTAGCATTCTCAATCTCAGTTGATAGGTCGAAACCCCAAGCATGAATTTCCTCAGGGCCCTCCCTTCGAGATTGCCATTTAGCATGTTCGATGATGTCTTTTGCTCAAACTTGATCCGCCTCGGCATCGGCCTTATAAATGCCCACCATCTCATCGGCATTGGCCTTAAATACTTTGGCCTCCGACTTGGCCGCTTCAAGCTCCGTGGTCAGACTTTCTCGATTAGAGATGACCGAATTCAACTGGGACTGGAGCTTCTCGGTCTTCTTGGCCTGTGCCAAACTTCTCCTTTATACCTCGGCGCTGGGCATTAGCCGAAGTAAGTTGGGCCCGGGCAGTCTCTTTTTTTGAGGGCAGGCGGTCTATGTTCTTTTTCCATTCTTTAGCCTCAGCATTTACCGGATCTACTTCTTCCCGGAGCTGCCCGATCTTGTCGATCTTCTGTTGGACCTGCGGGTTCGGACCGTTAGTCACCATGTTTGATTTGTCGTCACTAACTTCAAAAATTCTCCTTACCTGCTCAGTCAGGTCGGCATGCTCTTTCCGAGCCACCTCTAACTCAGCCCGGAGGCCCTTAGCCTCCCCTTCTCTTTGCTCACTGAGAAGTTTGTAAGCATCTCTTTTCTCAGTGAGCCCTCGAATCTTGGCCTCGTACTGGTTCAGCTCTTCCCGGTATCGGAGGAATGTTTCATGGTGGAGTACCGAAGCCTACAAACACAGAGAGAGGAGTTACGATCATCTACAAAATGATCTAAGTACACACTAGAAGTTATTAAGAGGTATCTGAGGTTACCCGATTTAATGCCTATTGGGCTTCGTTAAACAAACAAGGCACTTCCACCTCATTCATCTTGGCCTGATCCTCCTTGGTCACCAAGCACCGAAGGTAACTGGACACCTCCAGGAGGGCAGAAAAAACCCTGGCATCTTCTGGAATGGACATAATGATTGACCGATTCCGGTCATGATTCAAACTCGGGACTGGGAACCAGTTGACTAGTTTCGGGCTCGAGGCAGGTCCACTCGGCCTCGATGATAGACTTTCTTCTGCACCGGCATATCACCCAACCCGGTGACATCCTTCGTAGCGGTAGAGTCTACGCCATCAAAGAAGTTTTGAAAGGAGTCTACCGCCCCTTGTGGCTCTTCGATGGGTCGTTCTTTCAGCGCCTGAGCATTGGCAATCATAGACTCAGTAAATAATGGCGAACCAGAGAGGTCTATCACTCCGGGTATGCCCTTAGGATCACTATCCGCTGTCAGGGAAGAACCAACTACGATCTCATTATCAGCCTCTCTATCTCGAGGCAAAGTGGCCTCGACCCCTTCTAGTTCAGAGGCTTCGGCTAAAGCTCCCTCATCGACCTCCTCGAGTCAAGACAACACCTGCCGGATGCGGGCCACCAGCTCGGAATTCTTTTCTTCTTCTTTTTCTTCGGTCTCATCCCTCATCCAGTGGACTGAGTCCGAGGGTAGAGCGCCGATGCTTTCCTTGGGTTTGCGCGCCAGCCTCCTTTTTGGTTTTTTCTTTTCCAAGTTCAGGGAACTCGGAGCCCCTTTTCTTTTCTTCTCTTTATCCTACCTCGAAGCAGGTGATCGGGGGAGGATATCTTCATCTCCGAACGGGGCCCTCATTTAAACATATTTGGGAAGGCCTTCAAAGGGAGAAAAAGTGAGAAGGAACACTGCAAGAAATTAAGCATCATTCTTTCAGCAAAGGAATCTTTTCGTGGGAACGAGCCTCCCACCGGCCCTTTAAAAGTTCGCGCCACGCGCGCTCGGAGTAGGGCTTCTGTGATACGATGTGAGTCGAGGAACTGCATCCGGCATCCGAGCAACAGCTGCACCACGAAACGCCGATAAGAAGGGAGGAAAAGAAAAATCAATAAACGAAATCTTAGAAGCAAGGTTATACTTACGTTTCATGTTCCATTTATCGGTAAATAGCATATCCTCGGCCGGGATTAAATCCGAGGTTTTCACTCGAACAAAACGGCCCAACCAGCCACGGTCCCGCTCCTCGTCTATGCTCGAGAATGGGGCCTTAGTGGCCGACGGGCAAGTTTTATTAATCCCCTCGATAAAGTCGGGGACTGTATAGACACATGATGTGATCAATGGTGAAAGGACACTTCTCGATTTTGCTTACGAATAAGCATAGGAGAATTACTATCCTCGAGAAAGAATGATGGATTTGACCGAGGGCCACCTCGTACCTCTTACAGAAGGTGATGATGACTGGGTCCAAGGGGCCCATCGTGAAGGGATAAGTGTAAACACTTAAAAAACCCTCCACGTGCGTAGTAATCGCTTGCTCGGGCGAAGGCACCACTACGTGCTTACCAGCCCAGTTGCAGTCCTCCTTGACCTTGGAGAAGAGATTGTCGGTGATCGAGCATATATACCTCGAGACCGGCTCACACCGACCCGGTACCGAGGAGGTTTTCTCGACCTTAAAATCAGCATCAGTCGAGCACCCGCCAGGAATAAACGATTCAAGAGGAGGTTCCGCCGCTAGTTCCTTGCCGGCCGGCCGTGATGAAGAGGCAATTTCTTTTTGTGGAACTGTCTTAGAAGTCTTTGCCATTTTTTCTTTTTGAATAAAGGTGGAGAAGAGGAAGTTAAAAGGTTACACTTGATGGTTTGGAGTAAAGACAAACGGGAGTTCTTGCAAAAACCTCAAGAAATCTGGGTACAAGTACTAGAGAGTGCAAAGATTTTTTAAGTACAAGAGTAGAAGAAGTTTTGAAAGTAAAGTTTGAATGAGATAATGAGGAGGTATTTATAGTTTGCAAGCGACGGTTTAAAACCTGTAATGGCCGGCCAGCAACTGACGCACATTTAATGCCATTAAGACGTTATTGACGAGACGTTTCGTCAGTTTTGTCGTTTCTGGCGCGAAGTATCGAGACGAAGATCAAGGGCTCATATTGTTTCTCGTCGTTTACTCTCCGAAAAATGAGGGAACTATTTGTATACGGTCGAAACCGAGCTCATCCATTGCATGACAGATCGGGACAGAAACGTGATAGGTTGAAGACTGACCCCGGGTTCCATCGAACCAAGGTACGAAGTTACAACATACATCTCCAAGATCATCGATCCCGTGACTCCGAAACCGACCCCGACTCCGAATAAGCTCGAGGAAACACTATCGGACCGAATAACGGAAGGCCGAAATATCCGCAACCGATCGGATATCACGTTGAGAATCTCGGCACGTATCAATGAAAGATCAATTAATTAGCAAATCATGAGATTCCTCACCGTTGATAGAATTGTATCTAAAGTATGACTCCCCTACTATATAAAGGGGGTCTGATTATTCGTAAAAGGCATTGTAACACGCATCCCAAAGCAATATACTGTTATTACTAATTCTTATTATCTTATCATTCTGTTCCGATACCGATTAATGCACTTTTGACTCGAGAGTGACCAACCTTCAAGGCCAAGATTGTTCAACTTGTGTGGTTTGCATTTACTTTTTGTTTATTGATTTCAATATTAATCTGATTTTCTCAATTTGTATCAAGTTAGATCACGTATCCTTAAAACCGCGTATAAATTTAATTGTTATCCAATTTTGAGGGTAAACAAAAATATACTATATTAGAATTGTTTCTAAGCTATATTATCGTCAAATATGTTCTGACATTTCAGATTTTGATTAAGATAGATAACAAAATAGTTTAACGATGAATAATTTGTTAAATGTGTAAAGAATTCAATTCGTATTTTTAACTAGATGGAGTACTAGATATCACAAGGACGAACATTGTAATTTCATTTGATCTTTCAGAGGCTAAAACTGCAAAATTCCCTCCAAATTGAATGGACAATTTTGGTTAAAACCCGCAGAATGGTACCAGTACCACCTGAATTCTCTTACAATTATAGACTGCAATTACGTCAACCCCCGAGTCCCCCACAACCGCCATTGCACAGAAGCAGATTCCCCATTTTCCGTAAATACGCGCGTGAGGAGTGTGTGTGTGTGTGTGTGTGTGAGAGAGAGAGAGAGAGAGAGAGATTTGGGTTGAAATGGAGAATATCGACGAGCAGAGTGAAAACGTAGTACAGCCCCCAATGGAAAACCCTAGTGAGGAAGGAGGAGTAAGAGGAGAGAGCTCATTTCTGAAGAACGATTCTTCAGAAAGCAGAGAAGAAGGAGAACTCTCTTCATACGACGACGGCGTATGTAAAACCCCTCTCGTTTACCTCTATTTCTAATGTATAGATATTAATTTACTCCTTTTGCTTCATAATACAGCTCATTTTATTAAGTATATGTTTAAATTCATCATTTTTCAGATGCACACTTGCATAATTTTGTGTACCAAAGCTTTTGTTTTTGCAATTTAACTTCCCAAAGTGTAAAGGCTGAGAAAATACACCGCTACATACAACCACCACACCTCAATCCCAATCTGTATATCCTCAATTTCTGTTCCCTTACATTTGGGACCCTTTCATTCTAATACTCAATAATTTGTCTTTGTAAGATTAATTAGGGTTTAGATATTTTCTACATTTTTTTAATGATGGTGGTGGTTAGACCAGATTGAGCGTAGTTCAATTGTTTCATCGGGTATTTGTTGCTCCCAGCCTCCCACCAGCAGAAATACTGGGCAACTCTGTCTACCATGACGTAGGCAGATGAGAAGAAATTAGCTAGTGTTTTCTTGCCTCCGAGATTCGACCGCTAGGCCACACCATTGGGTGCAATTTCTTCCTGATAGTCTTTCCTTAACCTTCTTGAATTTAGTTGCTATTGCCTAAGAAGTAAAACTTTTCCCCTCGATTTCCTTTCTTTCACTTTCGTGTTGCTTTTGAGTCCTCCTGAACTGTATTTGTTAGTGAGTTTCTGCTATGGTGAATATGTAAGTAAGCTTTATGGGGCAAATAGAAGCTGTTCTGGATTAGTAAGCTACAGCAGTTTTGAGTTGATTGTAGATTGTTTTCCACAGGATCAAAATGTTTGTTCCACCGATCAGCTTACGAGTACCAGTGCTGCTCCACTGGAGCAGCAGGTTCACATTGATACAGTGAATGAGAATTCCCAGGATACCCAGGCAGGTATGTCCTAAAGCTCGAGTATTAAAACATTTATTTATATTTTGAACCCTTGGTTTCATCTACCTACGAGGAATGGCTGTTGACAATTTTTGATCAAATCATCTCGTCAGCATATATGCACATCGTTGTTAAGTTCACTCTCTGTGTGTGAATGCTAAAATTGACTTACTCTGGTAGTTTTTTGTTCGTTTGGTACAACTCTTCTCCTTCCTTAATTCATAGTCTTTTTTTTTATGTATGCATTAAGGATGGGTAACTAGATAAGAGATTATAATACATATTCTTCTAGTTCCACATTTTTTAATCTGTGGAACTTACCTCTTATTTCGTCAGGTCTTAAATTACTTTTCTCGCTTATCTAACTGTGCGGCGACTTATTTGCTATATTGTTGCGTCTTGTTTTCCTGTATATTTTGCAGAAAAATGTACTTCTTCCAGCAAAATGGGTTGCTCGATTGATGTGCCTTCAGGAACTCTTCCAGAATCAGATCATCCAAAGAGCTCTAAAAAGAACCGAGAGCATTTTGTGCCATTTCTAATAAGCTTCTCAGATGACAGTGGTAGTGAGTGTGAAAATTCTGGACAGAAGAAAATCTCAGTAAGTAAAAACCGAACCTTGGCTGCGGATAGAAGTAATAAACCACCAGCACCTGCTCCTCGAAGATCTCATAAATTGCACAAGATTACTAGAAAGGACGCAAATTTGATGTCTAGAAAAGGGCCTGCGTCTTCATTCACCAAAATTAAAGGAGGCACTTATGGAAATGTTGGACACTTGCATAGTATGAGAAACTTTAACAACTCAAATAAAGTAGCTATGCTTGACCATAGGAAAAAAACAAATGTACATTCGAATTCTAGTGAATTGCATGACTTGCGCCACTTGATCGCGATTCGCGAGAGTCAATTGAATCTTAAGAGATCTCAGAATACCAAAAACCTAACTTCAGCTTCATGTAGGGATAGAGATCTTGTCAATAAAAGGAATTTGGTGGTGAGGGAATCCAAAGAAACTACTTATGATTATTTGCAAGAACTAAAAGAACCAGACAACAAACGCCAAAAAATTGTTTCAGAGGATCCGAGTTGGGGTTTCTCAAACTCCCAAGAAATTACGTCTATGGTCATAAGATCAGAAAGGTGTGCATTAAAGGATTCCGATGAACTGGAACGAGCTGATGATAGCAGTCATGGGGAAAAATATCCAACTTGCTCAGTCCTTGCTGGACAACTGAAACAAAATGAGTATCAGGGCTCTGCTTCTTCAGCAAATCCACCTCTCTCTCTGAAAGATGGTACTCATTACTCTATTTTGTGTATACGAGCAGCTTTCTTTTAATGACATTAGTGGATGTCTAATTCAAATGAGCTTAATGCCACAGGTATAGATGCCGTAAGGAATCACAATCAGAGTTTCAGCAATTTGTCAAAAGAAGTTGCAAGTAAAGCTGCCAATAAATTGGTAAATTCTTGAATATATCACCATATCTCCATCTGGTTGTCAATGTGTTACACCAGCCTTGAGGATGGGCATTGAATGACTGGTTGAGTATTGTTTTGGCTCATGGAGCCTTTGTGTGGACATTTGAACCTAGTTTCACTAGCCCAAAAGTCTTTCATTTAGTAAAAGTTTTCCCCCTCTCTTTACTGCACATACTGCAATTAGAAGACGATATTCTTCAGAGGTAAAATAGTGAAGATAAAGTTTCTGCGATAAGTGGATTGAGTTAACTATCTTAGCCTTTCAAAGATTCTTAATGTAAGTGTCATACAGAGATATTATAAGTATAAGGTGCTTGTTTCAATATAGGTTTGATAAAACATTGATAGAGCCTGATAAAAGCCTTAGAATAAGTATTAGTCATCAGTTTGATTTTTGGTGATTGGCCCGTCAATGCAACAATGTTTCCTCTTGGCATCAAAGACACGACTTGTAAATAGAGCTTGTAGTTTCTCAGTCTGTTACATTATCAGGTTCTCCTAACCAGTTTTTCTTTTTCCTTTTGCTTTTTCTGGGGGTTTTTGGGGGGTGGGGGTGGGTAAGTAGGCTTAGTATTTAGTTCAGAGAACTATCATTAAGTTGAAGGAGCTAAAATGTAGATCTATATAAATTGCTTTTTACTTTCTGCATTGGGCCTAGTCACAGAGTTCAAAACTTATTTTGCAAGTGAAATACCTTTCCCGAGAAGTATGTCTTTTTTCTTTTCTAAAAGGTTGATCATACGAAGTAGAAACACTTGATTTTCCTAGTCATCTATATAGTTTAAGCTGTATATTATGGTGATATCGTAGGGAATTATATGGAGGATATGTAGTCAAAACAAGCTTTATATTGCATATTTATCGAATTTCCATGAACTTATAAAGCGGGTATTCTGTCGTCTCTTGTCAACTTGTGTTAGCTTCATTTGCATTTGATTGTTATAGTATAATACTTCTTCATGGATAGTAGTTATGTTTTTCGTTTTTTCATTCTAAGGTCAAGACCAAGCATGTCACTGAGCTTAGTGATCAGTGCAGACAGCCTCTTTTACAGAAGAAAGTGACTTCTGGGCGTGTTGATGTTAAAGTAACTGCAGAAAGTGACAGCAATCTAGGCAGATCTAATGAAAGTGCACAGAAGCCCGCTCCAGATGCTAATGTTATTGCAGCCTCGACCCATGGTGCAGGCGGCAATTTTGGTGCCAATGTTGTATGTTTCGGTTTTTTTCTGTCTTCCTCTTTCATGTGTTTTTTGTCTCCTTTTTCTAAAACTAAAGTGTAAAATTGCATATTTCTGATAGTTCTTTTTCTCCTTGTGAAAGACATCTCCGAACTTTCCAAGCATTTGGAACAGCTGTGACAAGCTAAATATTTGTGGGAGTAGCAGCATAGACTTACAGTCGTTGTTTCATTTAGAAGAATTTCATGATAAGGAACTGGGAGAAGCTCAGGAATATCGGCACAAGTGTGAGGTTGAAGAAAGAAATGCTCTGAAATCTTACCGAAAGGCTCAAAGGGCATTGCTTGAAGCTAATGCTAGATGCTCTCACCTATACAATAAAAGAGAACAATATTCAGCCCAGCTTCGAGATCTTATGATGGGAAATCCAAATTTGTTACTGTCTTCTGGGTTTCCTGACAAAAGTGGAATTGGGTTGGGCCCCGTACCTGCAATTTCTGATGTTAACGTGCATTTGATTCCCAGTTCAAGCTGTGCAGTACAGCCTACATTCGGCTTTAACAATCAACATAGATGCAATTTAAATATCCATCCAAACAATGTGGCTTTTCAAAATGTCTCTAGTGATCAAGAGCATTACAATTTGGCATCTGATCCCGAGCCTGATGGTATCACATTCGAGCCTCATAAGGAAGATAATGACGCAAATGACCCGTGCTCCCCTTCTGAGGATGTTATTATGTCTCAAAATGTGGACGAAGAGACATTTCTCACCGAGCATAGATCTCAAGAAAACAGTCCAGACTATCAAGGAAAGGCAAAATCTAGTGTTGATATGGAGAAAAGTATGAATAATGCATCAGAGGGGCAATCAGCAGTGACTATTTCTGAGGATTCTTTACTCCTTGAAGCATCTTTGCGCTCTCAGCTCTTTGAAAGATTAAGGATGAGAACTTTGTGCCAGAAGGTGACCCGACAAGAGACCCTGGGAGCTGTAGCTGAAGGGAGAGCAGAAAATGATGAGATTCTGGGAAGGGTGGTAATAGACAATAGATTATGCTCCGATTCAGAGAAAGAGAACGAGCCACAGCAAGGTTCTGACTTGATTCCGGGAAGGGTGGTAATAGACAATAGATTATGCTCCGATTCAGAGAAAGAGAATGAGCCACAGCAAGGTTCTGACTTGCAAGGTAGTGTTCCTTTGTGGATATATTTCCCTGCAGTAGCTTATCTCTATTAATGCAATATGCGTGCATATGATCCGAAAATGAGAAATTCTCAAAAAAAGAAAAAAACACTAAAATACCTTTTTGGTTATTTGGTGATGTGATGCTTTTAGATAAACAAGAAATACTTCTAAAAGAATATAGTAAATGGATCTAGTAAGATGCACTATATTCTGTGACAAATAATATATACATGTACTACTCAAATGTTTTTCACAGTTTTCTTTCTGAACTTAATCAACAATTAATTGGATGTTGTAGATGAAACATGTATATCAAATCAACCGGTCTGTCAACCTCAATGCCAAACTAGTTAGGGTCGATTATGTGAATCCTCTGTATATTGCTCTCTATTTGGGTCCTTTTCATTCCAATAAATACTTTATTTATTAGACCAGTTGAGAATTTTCTAAAGCCAAAGGTTCTCGAAATCTCAACCTTATTTTGACACTGACATACAAATTTCTAAAAAGACTAGTGTTAAACAGTGGACCTAATTCAAGTGTAATAATAATAACTAAGTCTTAATCGCAAACTAGTTGATATTGCCTATATGGATTTTATTTCCATCATGTTATGTTCTTAGCTAAGCCTGCATTATTTCCAATAAACCATACGTCTTTTGTGGCAACATCGTTTTCTATCGATTTTAAATCTACTTCATTCCTTTTTCCCCTTTAATCATCAGTGTCACACTATGATTAGTCCATATGGAAATACATATATGTTATGGACAACCATTTAAGGCAACTTCCTCTCATATTTACGAGGATATTGACACTGAGAAGTCGTTAAATCATGCCTCAATTCCAAACTAGTTGGTTGTTGAGGGCCGACTGCATGAATCCCAACACTATTGACGGGTCGACTATATGAATCCCAAACTAGTTGTTTAATTATGCCTCAATCACAACTAGTCAGTATTGCCTATATTAAATTTTTACTTTGCATTCTATTCTTAGTTAAGTATCCAATGATTTTGAGAGAGATTGTAGATCTTTTGAGGCACTTTACTTCATGTGATTTTAGGTCTGTCTCATCCCCACTATTTGCACCTTCAATCATCATAGTACCACTTTTGTTGGTTAGTGCATTTGAAGGTTTACATAGGACATGGTCAAAGTATATCAGGCTTCAGACAAACTTCTCTCTTTTTATCCTCTGTATGTTACTTTCACCTTAGTCGGATATGATTATTTCCAATCTTGTCGAATATTACATGACAACACATGTAGGGCTGGCAAATGCAGCCCAAACCGAAATGACCTGCCCAACCAACCCAGTGTTTAACGGGTTGGGCAGGAAACATTTCTGCTGATGGGTTGATTTGGGCATAACCCATTTTGACCCATGACAAAAGCTAGCCCAAAGTCAACCCGTGAGACAGCCCAAACTAAACCCATCTGTACGCAAACTTTGTACGCAAACTTTAAACCAAGGCTAAACAAAGTGAGCTCCAGTAACGATACTAAAGTATTACTATTTGATATCACTTCCGCTGTCTAATTTTTGGAATCTTGTCATATCAGTTGGAAAATGATATCAGAAAAGATTAATTTTATAGGAAAATTTATGCTATTTAAATTGTACTTATATGGAAAAAAAAGAAAATTGTTAAGTGAAGTAATGTCACTTGGACAATTCAAGAAATATAAAATTTTGTGATAGTAAAAATTAGAAAAATTCATCTTCTTGTAATATGTAATAATTATGAACACTTGTTTGTGAATATTTGGTTGAAAATGCTTATTTATATCTTTAAAAAGAAAGAACAAAAGTTGCGTCAAATTGGGCGGGTTGGGCTATGACCCATTACTTAGCCCATCTTGACCCAATCATGTTTCTACAACAGGAAAAGAAAGTATCATTTTGTGAAAAAGAAAATACTTTTTCTACATCATGAAAAGAAAATACTACTTTTGTTGAAACAAAAGAAAATACCTTTTTTACAACATGAAAAGAAAGTACTCCTTTAAGAAAATACTTTTTCTACATCATGAAAAGAAAGTACTTATTTTATTGAAATGAAAGAAAATACTTTTTCTACATCATTAAAAGAAAAAAAATTGTTGAAGAAGTGGGGGTGGGGTTCGGGGGTAGGATGGGGGTTGGGGTGGGTGGGAAGTTCTAATTTTACTACTTTTTTATTATTGTGATCTTTGTTAGTTTTATAAGATGAAGAACTATCAAATAAAATTCTAAATCCAAATTGAAAAAAGAAATCATTTGGCATGAATTGACATTTATTCCATAATATAAGATAATTTTTATTATATGTTTGTTTATAAGTTGAGAATATTGCAAAGATTTGGGTCAATTTGGGTGGGTTGGGTTACAACCCATTGTTTAGCCATCTTGACCCAGACCATCTTAACCCAAGTGAACTTTGGGCAGGGTTGGGCAATGACCCATTTAATGAGTCAGCCCATCTTTACCAGCATAAATACAACCCAAACAGCCCATTTGCCATCCCTAAGCACATCCATCTTAGCATCTCTATCGTTTTGTGGATATGTTGGATCTTTAAGGTCCAATATTCACTTTTATATAACATTGTTGGTCTCAGCCGTCCCACAACCGTTGTATAGAACTATCTTTCATTTTGCTTGGTATCTTCCTATAGCATAATACTCTCATAGCACTCGTCCATTTCAGCTAATCCTATTTATAAATGTGCTACATCTTAATCTATTATGTTATCCTCCTGCAAGACTGAGCACACGTATTTGAATTATTCGCTTGTAACAATTATTAGGAGTGATTAATTTCTTTCTTGTTTTTTGTGAACTTTTCGTTTCAATTATCCACGATAGTAATTGAGAAGTTCTGCTTTTAGAAGGTCATCCATTCTCTTTTGGAGGTCATATAACAACGAAAGTCGCAATTTATCATTTCAGATTGTGACATTCTTTATTCTGGTTGAGCTGACTTTTTGATTTCTCTTTCCTTTTGAACTTTTTATTAGGCTGTGACATGACGAGTACGATGTCTAAGATACCTGTTGAAGTGGATCATCAGTGCACCAATGAGAAGTTTGGTTCTAATTTTGCATCGCTTTCATCTAATATTTGTTTAGATAGTAGTATCACCACAGGCGACAACAAATCTCAGTTTGCAAGCTTGGTCACCTTCTCATATCCGATTCTGAAGAGTGCTATTTTGCACTTTAAAGTTTCAGATTTCATGGATTTACTCAAATTACAGATTAGAAATTCCAGTGTACAAACTTCTCATGATCAGGGGGAAAACAATTTCAGTGGCGGAACCATACCAAGCATTTCAAGTTCGGGTCCAGTTGAAGCGGCTTCAGTGGATTTAATTGGCAGTAAGAGTGGGTCTTACACTTGCGATTTTGCCATTGACCCGCTTTGGCCACTATGTATCTTCGAACTTCGGGGGAAATGTAACAATGATGAGTGTTCTTGGCAACATGTTAGAGACTACTCTTCTGGCAGTAGAATGAAGATGACATTGGATAATGATGGTATGGATCTTCTGTTTGAAGTGTATACGACATCTTATAGTTCCTTTCGACATAACATATGATGCAAATTTTCATAACTTTTTTCTTCTGTAGACAAGGTTGGATCACCAACTGAAGGACAGATATTTGCTTCCACAAGAACTCTCACCAAGTCACTTGACTGCCTTGGTTTGGCTCCCCCAACTTATTTGGTTGGCTTGGATGGTCTGAAAGCTGATCTACAGTCATGTAAATCCATTCTAAGTCCCAAATACGGGCAACTGTGGGTTAAGTGCTTCAGTCTTTCCTTTGTTCTCTCAAGTCAGCTACACACCGATCTGCCCTCTGATGAGCCTTTATTTCATGGCACTAATGCTCGTGTTGAGGTCCAAGGTGGTTGGAATAGGCAATCACTTTATTTTCAGAGCAGAAATGGATCACCGGTTTGTCAAATCAACCTGTTCTTTTCTCGTAATTAGTGGGGGTGGGGGAGGAAGAGGGAAGGAGACAAGATGATTTTTAGCTTCTTATGTAACTCTTTTGTAAAAGCTAAATTTTAATTTTTTAATTTCAACTGTTATAGTTAGCATGCCTCTGAAATACCACTGAAGCTGCGGAAGTATTAATTTTAATTTCAATACACGAATCAAGAGAAATTATTTTGCATCTCCTTGGTGCTTCCAAAATGTCTTTGTTCATGAGAAAAATTTGGTGATTGTACGAACTCTGTAACTTAAATACGTTTTGGTTTTTTTGGGTAACAAATATGTTTTATTTCCTTTGGAACCTTTGTAATTATTAGTTGAGACAACTGAATCTGTTTAAAGAATGCAAATTTTGGGTTATTGGTTTTGTCCTTTTATATCATGCTACTAGGACCTTTCCTGTGACTCTTTCTAACTTCCCAATTCACTAGTCTGCTCTTTCCTTTCTTCTGCCATTTTAGTTTTCAATGGTGGAATATCCCTTCTTGTTTCCTGCCTTCTATATATTCGAGTTTGCTATGCAGCAAGCAAAGTTTTTCTCGACCTTCTGTTGAAGGCAGCAGTCTTGAGTTCAAGTCTCACCACCACCCATTACCGAAAAAGAATTTTTCATGTGGCCCATGAAAGAAATCAAGCCTGCATGTGAGGAGACGTGTTGAAGATAAACTTAAGCTCTGAGATGAGATAGTCACACATTCAACACCTTCATGCTACCTCCCACGCATTTGGTCTTCATTCTTCTTCTTTTTTTCCTTTCTCCATTGACAGAATTTGTAATTTCGTGGGGTTTCTTCCCTAATACTCCATCCGCTTCATTTTATGTGTCTTACTTTGACTGGGCACGAAGTTTAAGAATGTAAAGAAGACTTTTGAATCACGTGGTCTTAAACTAAAGGTGTGTATACATACCAAAAATACTCTTTGAATCTTTGTGGTCTTAAACATGTCATGTCATTCCTTATGAAAGCCTTTCATTTTCTTCTTCGATGGAAGTTTGATTTTCCCAATGGAGTTGTTCTTTTCTCCACAAAAATTTGTACCACAGATAAATAGCTTCTGTCCTTTTGCCACCTGCTGTTAATGCTGTAACTTACCTTCGAATGTCTTGCAGGATCCATGCAAGGAACTATCTACTGATGCTGACGAGATTGTAGAGATGGCTCTTCTTAATCTCAGTCAGGAGGCTAATAAACCCAAGGGAAGGATACAGGTATGCTTTTGGTGGTGATTATGGGTTACATACTTGGAGGGTCAGTAATCTCACTCGTGTTAATTTTTGCTAAAACATGCAGGCTCTTGAACTCCTTGCTCGAGCTTTGGAAGCTAATCCAATGTCTGCAGTTCTCTGGATTGTTTACCTGTTAATTTACTATAGCAGTCAGAAGTCTATTGGGAAGGATGATATGTTCAAATGTGCGGTATGCAGTATTTCTACATGGAATTCTACTGTTAAAACAGAATATTTGAGTTGGCTCAAGATGTTTATACCATTTGGAAGTCTATGTGCTGAGAAACATTTGTACATAATTAGGGATAGGAACATGTTAGATAATTGGCTCTGATGGTGCGCTATATATTTTGTTAATTGCATCTGAGAACGCCAGTTCGATTTACTTCATTAAGGGCCCTGTGTCCATGTTATGTACTAGCCCTTAATCCTAATGGCTTGGGGTTCCTGAAAACTTGTCTTAAATCCGCTTCAGCCAAGCCAAGCCCCAAGGTCTTACTTTGACTTGTAAGTTTGTGTTTGATTCACGAAATTATCAACATATGTACTGATAAATCTTCTTATTCTGTAATCCAGGTTGAGCACAGTGAAGGCTCTTACGTACTCTGGCTTTTCTATATCAATAGTCGAACACAGCTGGAGGAGAGGCTGGCTGCATATGATGCTGCACTGTTGGTCCTGTATCGCCATGCATCTGCATCTGACGTAAATGCCAGTGCCAGTGATTGTATATTGGATATATTCTTGCAGATGATGAGTTGTCTGTGCATGTCTGAGAATGTTGCTAAAGCCATTGAGAAAATCAATGAGCTATATCCCACAGAAGAGAAATCTGATAACCCACTCAAACCGTCTCTTCCTGATATCATTACATGTTTAACCATTTCTGATAAATGTATTTTCTGGCTCTGTTGTGTGTACTTGGTTGTGTACAGGAGACTTCCTGATGCTATTGTGCAGCAGTTTGAATATCAGAAAGAACTTTCTTCCATAGATTGGCCATCTGCTGAGTTGACCTCCGATGAGAAGCGACGAGGTGTCTCTTTGATGGAATTAGCGGTAGATTCTCTGGCATTGTACATCGACAGAGAGTCACTTGAAGATGAAGCAAATCTCAGGGCAGCACACCTGTTTTCTGTCAATCACGTTAGATGTATAGTGGTGCTTGAGGGTATAGAATGTAGTAGAAATTTGTTAGAGAGATATGTCAAGTTGTATCCATCATGTCTAGAACTCGTTTTGATGTTAGCTCGGGCAGAGCATGATTTTGCAGATGGAAGTTTTGAAGGTTTTGAAGATGCTTTAGATAACTGGTATGATGAAGTTCCTGGAGCGCAATGTATTTGGAACCAGTATGTTGAATGTGCACTCCGAGATTGCAAAAGAGATTTTGCGGAGGAATTAATGGCTCGATGGTTCCAGTCTTCATGGAAACACAGGTATTCTAAAAATAGTTGTCTGGAAACAGTAGATAGTGACAACTCCCGGTCTTCACCGCAGTCTGCTTCAGTATCTGATATTGCTGCTCTCTTTTCCAATTCTAGCAAGAACGATATTGTATTTGGGCTGCTGAACTGTTCCATCTATAAACTATTACAAAATGACTATACTGAAGCTCAATTAGCCATTGATAAGGCATTGGAGGCTGCTTCTGCTGAGAATTACAGTCACTGTGTGAGAGAGCATCTCCTGTTCTTGACTGCAGATAATTTGCACGATGATGGGCAAGTATTGAAACTTCTGTGCGGCTATTTGGCTGATAAACGTGCTTCCCTCACCTCTGAGCCATTATCCAGGCAATTCGTCCAAAGAATCAAGAAGCCTAGAGTCCGGCAGCTAGTTGGCAACTTGCTGTGTCCCGTGTCATTGAAGCCTTACATAGTGAACTCAGTTCTTGAAGCGTGGTATGGCCCATCTCTCTTACCTGAAAAGAAAGATGAAGTCACTGATTTTGTCGACATGGTTGAGAGCTTAATGTTGGTGCTTCCTTCCAACTATCATCTGGCAATTACTGTCTGCAAGCAGTTAACCAGAACCTCAAATACTGCTAATGTACCAAGCAGCATCTCTTTTTGGGCAAGCTGTCTCTTGATAAGTGCACTATTTCAGGCTGTTCCTGTGGCACCAGAATATGTATGGGTAGAAGCTGCAGATATTTTGCAAGATCTTACAGGTTGTCGGTCCCTATCTGTCAAATTGCTGAAGAGAGCTGTGTCTATATATCCATTCTCTTTAATGCTTTGGAAGTCTTATCTCAAGTTATCGGAGGCTGAAGGAAATTCAGAATCTGTAAAAGAAGCAGCAAGGGCAAAAGGCATTAAACTTGAGTGACAACTTGCTTTAATATCATTTCTGAAGCAAATTTTGGGATAGCTTTTTGGTAGGGTAATGAATTGTGTAAATCTGAAGATAGAAATAGCAGCAGAAGACAACAGACCAGAGCTGTGTAGAGAGCCAGAGAATTATATAGGATGTTATAAATGTATAGGAAATCATATAGGTAACATTACCAAAGATTTTTCTCAGGATGAAGCCAATTTTGTTCAGATACATTTTGTATCACACTATACCCCAGTCCCCACACATTTCTTACTCTGCTAAATGCTTATAGTTTCTTGTTTATTTTTCAAATGTCGAATTCTAAAATTGGTTTTGTAGCAACTCATACAAACACTGTTATCATATTCTGGTTATCCTTGAAGAAACACCCCTTTTTAGTACAACAATAACCACTTTTTCATATGAAAAAAACTTTTTTCCTTTTAGAAAAATCATTTTACGGTTTTGTTGATGTTTCTTAACGAAGCAAAAATACTGAATACATCCTGACTAACAAATCTTGTCAAAACAATAAGAAAAATGAAAACAGCTGCAAAAATCAGTTCGATAAGTGAAAAAAAGTGAGAAATTGCTAGGGCCCAACCGGGTTCGAACCGGTGACCTCTTGATCTGCAGTCAAATGCTCTACCACTGAGCTATGGACCCCTTCTTGCTTAAGGTAATTAGAGTATTATTTATTAACGATTTTAAGCTATTATATAAGCTTAAAATCATCAAAATAATTCTTTAGCAGTGTTTTAATTTTTATTATTGGAAGAAACTAAGGTAGAAGTGTGTAAGCACCCAAATGAAACTGAAGAGAAAGAAAAAGAGGATAAAATGCCACCACATAGGCGCGAATGGACATTACTTGCATTAGGAAAGGGGTGGCAATTGGACGGGTTGGGTCAAATTTGGGCATGTCAAAACGGGTTGTGTTAATATTCGGTCATGACCTAACCCACCCAAAAATTTGTTTGGGTCAAGATGGGTCAAACAACGGGTCATAACCCAACCGCCCAACTATTACTCAAATGAAATTGTATTATGTGTGCTGCAAGTTACATTATTCATCATCTGTTTTTGTCAAATGTTAGTTTTAGGATCGTATCTTGTCTTCTAACGTAATCCAAAACTTCGTTGAAACCATTTAAAAATTTTAATAGTTGGGTTATGTTATCTTTTAATAACAATCAAAAAGATCTAATTTAGTCAAAAAGGCGGCATAATTTCTGCTTTAACTAATTAACTTCTCCCTGACTAAAAGTTTTTTTCTAAAACAAAGTCTACAACTTTTAAAAAAATGTAAACTAGTGAATTTAGTAAAAACCAATATTATAATTGTTACCTTACATAAATATATCGGCTAGCTTGCAGAATGTATATGTCTTTTTTTCTTATCTTCATGAATCATGCATTAATCTAAAAGACTTCTTCAAATCAATTTCACAAAAGTTTAAAGACGCCTAAGAAATTACAAGCTGTATGATTTTAATATATAGTGCAATCATTTACCTAAAAGAAATTTTATGAAAGAAAACATCATCTCTAAAGGCATTTAGGAGAAGGTTCTGTTGCAAATGGAAAATTTTAGAATGCAATTAAATCTGTTATAATAAAATATAGGTAGTTTGGTTTTGTCTTAGAAGACATAACTAGATGAAAGTCAGGATAGTCACGGGTTGATAAACTGACCCGTTGAGTGACCCAATTTGACCTGTTCCAGAGATGGGTCAGTTTGGGTTACAACCCAAATTGACCCGGTAAGAAAAAATCACTGACCCAACCCGTTAAAGTTTGGGCGGGTTACACGATTATGGGTCAAATTTGGCACCTCTTCATTAGGTGTATGCACTTATATTGCCTTTGTTCAAATCATACATACTTATGTATAATTAAAGTACTTTTAATTAATTGTAATATTTATTTTAAATTTGCACTGTATATTTTTCAAAAGAATAGTGATGCAATGACATTCAGTTTCTTACGATTTTGGATTCACTTAGTTATGCACTACATTGCTCTTTGTTTGGACACCAGGTAGCCTTAAAATCACTTATCGTAAAATTTACTTTTATGACGACAATATCTTAAGTCATCTTGCGTGTACCTCAATTAATTTGCTCGGTACTTGCTACCTTCCATCAGCATATATAATCACTAATTCTGTTCACCAAGGCGCGGACAGAAAGAATTTTTTTCATCTCTATTGGAATTTAGATCTTAGTTCCCCGCGGTTTTCACCTATTTTATTGGCCGCTAACCCACACCCTTAAATGCCCTCCCCAAACTTCCAGTATCATAGGCAAACAGATCCACAATATCAGAGATAAAGGGTAAGGTTTAATGAAGTTTTACGAGAAAGACATAATCTACAGTTGCATAGTTCCCTTCCCCGAATGAAATGATCAATAGAGACAAGGCATATCACAATTTAATGGAATAAGTGCAAAGGTAAATCCAAGCTACAAAAACCACCTACGTAAGAGTAAAAATAGATACAAGAACATTATTTTACTCTTAGACAGAGAGAATAACATATCAAGAATCTGGACACTCGAGTTTTGCCATGTGGTAAGGCCTCATTGCCACGATACATGTTCTGATATAGACAAACTCATATAATTATAGTCAGCTAATTTTAGTTTCGCAACAAATTAAATATCAAATATTTTTGAGAATGCACAACAAATTAAAGTGGAAGAACAAGTCAAATTATTATTCAAAATGATGATGCACAAAATGAGAAGATGTTCCTTGATTTCATGAGTAACAAACATATATAAAAGATTACTGAAGTTCACTGAGAAGTTAAAAGGAGCAAGATGAACTAAAACTCAAAATAACAAAGTAGCTCCTTGACTTCATGAGTAACAATATGACATATTAAAGAGTATTGGAAGTTCTCTGAGAAGAAGAGACTTAAAAGAGTAAGACGAACGCGAACGACAAGCCAATAGTATAACTAACCACGTTCTACTTCCCACAAACTATAATCACTTAGCTTAAGCAAGAAACTCGTGCACTCAACATTCAATTCCACCAACTCGGCTTCTGAAAACATCAAGCCCCATCTCTGTAGGATCAGTTGCTTGCAGCTCTACCTGGAAACCGTCAAGCTCTCTCTTGAACCTGTCTTTGGAGCTTGCATAAATCATCTTGCTTCTCACTCTTGCCGTGTCAGGTGACCTTTAACAATTGATTCAACAAGACACACAAAAAGTCACGCCAGCTGGCAAAGAGTAACAGGGGAACAATGGAAGTCTAAAGGGCAGCCCGGTGCACTAAGCTCCCGCTATGCGCGGGGTCCGGGGAAGGTCGGACCACAAGGTTCTATTGTACGCAGCCTTACCCTGCATTTCTGCAAGAGCCTGTTTCCACGGCTCGAACCCGTGACTTCCTGGTCACATGGCAACAACTTTACCTGTTACGCCAAGGCTCCCCTTCCGTAAGACTATGGAAGTCTAAATCACTATTTTATTTTGTGGAGAATGGTAAGATTTACTATATTTAATAAGAAATTACCAAGCAATGAAGAATATTCTGCTCTTCTGGACGTTTTCTTCAGTCGTGAAATCAAAGTCGTAGACAGCATATCGACACTCATCAGCAGGGAGGCCTGCAGTGAAATCCTCATAGCTTTCAGTTGGTTCACCAAGCTTTTCCACAACAACTTGCTTTTGCTTCTCTTCAATCTTATAGATGATGAACCGGTGAGTTCTTTTTGCCTTCAACTCTAAAAACTTCAGCTTGCAATCATCATGCACAGCCATCCCTGATGCTGCGTTAGCCTACAATTTGGTACAACATACAACATTACCCCAAACGTAATATAAGGCAACACATTGAACAGAAATACAGGGAATAATAATGGGATAAATACCCTATCTAGATCAACAATTTTGTCTTGCGCCTATTAATCATTAGGTTAAAATTATCCAACCAGTCTAATCACTCTTCAAGATATTCCTCCCCTTAAAGAAAAAAGAATCAACAAATAGAAGAGCAAAGAAAGGACCCGAAGCCTCCAGTATTTCAGAATTTTCAAGTCTTATTCATTTCTTCTAGAATTTACAATTCCCACTTAAAAGTCCTCCATCAAATAATTGTGAAGGAAACACATACAAGAGAGAGATAGCAATTGCATTTCCAACATAACCAAAATTAGGTTGGTTATTCTTCAATTCTTCTGCCTCAAAAGAGCAGAATACGTTATTTTTTAACGTTAGTGAAAAGACCACAATGCATAAGTCAAAAGATGATTTCATTTTCTTTCTCTTTTACTTTTTTCTTAGTGACAAAAAATGAAGATGGCAGAAAAAAATCGTCCACAAGTAGATATCGAAATTGCCATAGAAGTTGAGGCTAATTTGGAATTAGTTTCTCATTACCACCTAGAGAGAGGAGAAACAAAAAAAAAAAGGCAGACAGAGGCATCAACCTGTGAGACCTTACTATCACATCAATGAAATTAATACAAATTTCAATTGTAACTTCCAAGGTACAAGTGTTCCAGCACCAAAAATATCGGATAGTCAAGGCCAATGTTGTTCCAAAAATTTCAAGTCAGAATAAAGCTATAGATTCTTTTTTATTCGAACCTCATAAAAGTCAAACAACAGAATAAAGCACAGGTAGAAACTAGAAAGTGTTTGGACACACATGACTTGCAAATCAACGTCTGTTTTACAATTTGTCAATTATTTCAAGCTCAGCTTTAAATATAGAATCTAACGTCGAAAAACTAGTTTGAGAAGTATTTCAAGTGAAATAATGATTTTAACTCACAAGATATCAATTCTTTTTCCAAGTGAAATTCACAAATATTCATTTTTTAACTTCAACCAAATATAGTTCAAATGGAGCTTTATAGCCCCAATCTGAGCAAGAAATTTATCCAATAAACCGTAGGTTTTATCTCTCGACATCTCCTATTTTGGAACCCGAGATTTACCCTAAACTTTCAAAATAGGCAGAAGTCCTACCAAGGATAATATCTACATGCCTAGACATAGAAAAGTTACATAATCAAACCCACACAGCAAGAAAAGTTACATAGTCAAACCCACACGGGAAGACTGTGCATGCAGGACAGGCCTTTTGAAATATGTGGTATTAAATAAGCCATACCATTAGTGTGACCGTAAAACTTTTGAAATTTGTGGTCTACTGGTCTTAAACATGCCATAGCAATTGTGTGGTTACAAATGCTTCTATTCGCGGACTAATAGGGAAATAGTGTCAATCTTTTTGAAACGGAGAGAGTATCATTTTTTGGGAGAATTCCTAGCTTCAGTATATGTTGTCAAAACAACATATGTTTGTCCAAACGGCAGGCTACATAAGTTTGCAGCCGCAGGTTCAAAGAGTCAAACAAAAGACAGTTAAAGATCATTCAAGTAAAGCAAAGACATTCCTTTATGCAATTATGCTTTTAAAAGAAGTTACTTAGAGCAAAGGAATCCATCAACTCCACATTGCATGATATATTGATACTTGACAATGCATTACAAAAATCAAGTCAGTTAAAGTAACATAAGATTTGATTGCAAAAATGCAACTCATATAAGACATTAGCAAAGCTGCTCATCAAAGGAGGAACAGATGGTTAGTGATCAAACTCTTAAACTGTAATATCTGGTAGCACTCATGAACACATATCCATGTATCAATAAATAAAAACTAATATATGTAACAATGTTATCATTCGTATGACGTACAACGAATTTTGCATAAATGATATTGACCTATGAGCATAATTCAATTTATACCTCATTTCAATATGAAAGAGATTTTAAAGATCTATTTCTTAAATCAAAATTAAGGAAAAACTGAAAGGAAATAGTACATTTATAATTGCGCATTTTAGTTGGGAGTAGAACTAGAGAAATTAAATAATTTTTTTTTTATAAGACAACTGTGATTGCTGTATGCCCTTGGTGACTAGGTTAACTCATCCGTATCATTCAAGCAATGAATTGGTATGCATCACTGGGCGAAACCCATTTTCAACCCGCCAATTATCCTTTTTTTGAGCGGATAATATGGGTTGATCCATATTTGACTCGCTTTTAATAATCAGGTATCCAACCCATTTTTTATCAGATAATATGGGTTGATCCATATTTGAGACAATTTTAATAAATCAGGTCCAACCCATTTTTTATCAAATAATATGGGCGGATACTTCCAAATTTTATCCATTTTTTTAGCACTAGCTACACCAAACCCTTAAGTTAAATACCAAAAAAAATCACCACAACCAAGTGGCTACTGAAACAAAGATCTGAAGCTGGATTTTAGAAATCTCACAAGCTGTCTTCATAGTTCTTAGCATAAAGCTTAATGTCTATCAAAAAAAATCTCACAAGCAAAAAAAAAAAGTGTCATCATAAACCACCAAATATTCATCAATCTATAGCATAAACTGAAACCAGATCCATAACACTTTAAGCAATCGGAAAACTAACTTGTAAATTTCATAATTAAGTATAGAAATCGTGTCTATTATGCATATCCTTTAACAGATCGAAGTAGTAGCTCTTTATAGATAAATTTAAGATTTATGCAAAGAGTTAAAGGAAAAAAAATAGTATCGACTAACCATGATTTTGAAGGAGAGAGAGCGGATTGAAGAGATGAGAAAATTTAGGGCTCCGATAAAGTTGGTCTTTTCTCGTCGATGATGAGACCAGATACGAAGAAGGGGGTCCTTGTTTTTCCCCTTTCTTTTCCTTTTTATCTTTTTTCCTCTAAATTATGTGATTTCTTTTTTATTTTTTTTTTCATTTTAACATGTCTCAAAATACTTCGTTTGGAAGGAAATTAAGGTGAAAATGTTTTTGGCTAAACTTTTTTTAAATTTGACTTGAACAAAATTTTGGCCCAAAAAAGATTTCACCTTTCACAAAATTGAAGAACTTAAGTGGGCGTTTGGACAAAAGAATTGTAAAAATCCAAAAAAAAAAAGTGAAGTTTTTTTTAAATGAAAACGGTATTTGAAAACTATAGTTGTACTGAGACATGAATACAATTTTGGGTTTCTTTTTTGAATTTTTGTGAGTGATTTGAAGTGATTTTTTTTTTGAAAAATAGCTTTTTGGGAGTTCTTCATATTTTTTAAAAATTACGAAATTCATCTTCAAATGAAAATTGAAAATTTCTTGGCCAAATATTGATATTCAAAAAAATTGAAATTTTTTCGAATAACAATGAAATTCTTTTCATGGCCAAACGGGCCTCTATAAGTTTGTATTAAATTATTCACTAATTAGCTTTAATGTGATATTTACTCTCTTTTAAACAAATAGCAATTTAACATTTTATTATATCATTACTGATATACCATATAAATTAAAGTAACATATTAAACTTTGTTCCTAGTTAAACACTACTAACATAAAACAAAATGAAGCTATGTTACATTTAAAATATTTTATATCGTGTGCTTGAAGATTAAGAACTATTGACCGATAGAGGTCTAAGTGGGCGTTTGGACATTAGAATTGTACAAATTCGAAAATAAGTAACGTATTTTTTCAAGTTGAAAAGGATATTTGAAATTAGAGTTGTGTTTGAACATAAATACAATTTAGAGTTATTTTTGAATTTTTGTGAGTGCTTTGAAGTGAAAATTTTAAAAAATAACTTTAAGTGAAAATTAAATTAATTTTTTTTCGGGCCAAACACTGATTCTGAAAAAGGTGAAATAAAATTTTAAAAAAAAAACTTTTTTATGTCCAAACGGGCCCTATGTGTTTTTACTCCAAGACATTTTCAAGAGTTTCAAAAGCTTCTCATATACGAGTAAAATTTTGCACCATTTCATTATTTTCTTTTATCACTATCTAAAAGGAGACTTTACGTTTATAATTGAAAACAATAATAATAAAAATTGTAATATATGAGTTTAAATTCTTCTACTCTCGTGGTTGATGTTGATTGATTGACTGTTTTATTCTTATTACTGGAAAATTTTGGCCCTAAATTTTCGATTTTTGAGAAACACTTTTTTTTTTTTTGAAAAATATTTTGTTACTATGAGCTACCGTTTAGCAATTATGCCATGGTAGTTTCCTTCATAACAAAAAAAAAAAATGGGATGTCATATGCATATTACTTTTGTTTACCCTGGAATCCGGATAACAATTGAATTTATATGGGGTTTTAAGGATCCGTTAACTAAAAGATACAAAAGGTTTAGGTTGAGGAAAATAAAGATAAAGACTCAACAATTGCTGTTAAAGTAAATAATCGCAGAATATAATATTGCTTAGAACAATTGTGCTTGATAGCGTACAAGAATTTAGAGAGATGGTACTGTAGTGTAATGGTTTTCTCCGGTCCCCTCTTTATGGGGTCTTCTCCCCTTTTATACATTCTGATTAAGGGTAAAAATAAGGTAGGTAAATTGATTACATCGTGGATCCCTGTAATTACGCCTTAATGGCCTGAAGTGGTTGAGAAAATCACGTTTGGGCGAGATATCCGTCGACGCTTGGTTATCCGTTACGAGTCCGGCTTCCGACCTTGTGTGTTTCTCCATCCGGTGGTGACTCATATCGAGCTCTGTAACGGTCTCGAAATGACTCGACCTCGGTCGTAGACGTGGCCGTCGTTCTACCTTGCATCCAGGTCGGGTTCGATGGCCCCGACTTGCCCCGGACCGGACCCAACCCGGTCGGGCTCAAGCAAAAAAGGGTATCACCCAATACAGATAGTCCCCTCGTTTATTAGAGAGTAATGATAATAAACGATATGACCGGTAACGTGATGCCCGTGACGTACGGCCATACGCCAGGTGAAAAAGCCATCGAGTGCTCTGACCACGCCTGCTGCAGGCATTTAATGCTTCTCTTAATTATCTGTCGCTTCGTGTCAGTGGCTTCGCGATTCGTGCCACCGACTCATGGAAAAAGTATAAACGACCCTTCCAGGTTCAACATTTCTTATCTTTCTCAAATTTTGCGTTGGTTGTATTTTCTTTTCATCTCTTCGTAAAGCTTTAAGAAATGGCAAAAACTTCACAAAGCTTCTAGACCAAGCTCGGCCGCGAGCCCCGCTAGATCTGATGAACCTGCACCAGAACCCCCATTGAAAGCTTTCACACCGACTGGTTGCTCGGTATCTGCCGACTTCCAGGTTGAAAACCCATCATCGGTCCCGGGCCGCGGCGAACCGGCATCGGAGTATATTAGTCTAATCACTCCCGGTTGCCTAGACCGGGTGAGGGCTGAATGTAGATGGGAAGGGAAAGACCTGGTCGCCCCTTCCCGTGACGAGTCGATTATGACTCACGTTGAAGGGTATCTTAGTGTATATACATATCCCTTCACCTTAGGCCCCTTAGAACCCATTATAGTGGAGTTCTGCCGGCGGTACGAGGTGACCTTAGGTCAGGTCCACCCCTCGATGTGGCGGATCGTATATCTCTTTCGGTTTTTTGTCGAGAGAGTCGAGGGCGATTTTCCCTTTACCCTCGACCATCTTCTTCGATTATACAGCCCTCGAATATTTCGAGGGGGATTAATAAAACTGGCCCGCCGGGCTAGCAAACCCCCATTCTCCAGCATCGATGAAGACAAAGATCGAGGCTGGATGAGCAGGTTTGTCCGGATCAGGACGTCCGACCTGATTCCGGCCGATTGCATGCCATTTCCGGAGAGGTGGAACCTCAAACGTAAGTATTTTCTCACTGTTCACCTTTTAGAGTGTGTTTTCCTCAACTTCTCCCTTTTCTTGTGCAGCGGTGACCCAAACTCCAGCTGCCATCAAGGATCTGGCCGGCTGGGTAAACAAGATAGTGGCCCAGCGGCCATATTCGGAGCGAAACTGGAAGGAAATCTCCAAAGGTCGGTGGGAGGCGAAAAACCATGGTAAGCCTTCTTTTTGACCGGTAGCGCACCAAGTTAACGCATTTTTTCTTGTATATCGGGAATGCATCATAACCCTCGTGTTTTGCAGGCTTGCCCAAGGACGCGGAGATGAGGTCTTCAATACTATGCCCCCTTCCGGTTCCGGGAGAAAATAAAAGGCCCGGGGAGTCCGGTACGGACGAGCCCCAAAGGAAGATTAAGCGGACAAAAAGGGCCGCCCGCAAACTAAAAAGCCAAATCGTCTTGTCCTCCGAGGAGGAGGACGACAAAGAGGATGACGATGAGGAGCAGCCGGAGCTCGTCCGCCATCGATCCATTCGACCGGACCCCGAGCCGGTGGTCGATCCAGCTGAGGCTCCTNTGACAGGCTCCTGGACCCGGCTCTGGAGCTGAGCTATAGCCGATTGCTGGGCTTGCAGCATGTCAAAAATCATTTTAAGGTTGATAGTCTCTTCGCCGACTGCCTGGGCCCTCGAATCGTCCTCTCCCCGGACGCTATGCGATGATCCGGAGGCCTGATCAGTGTTGAGCGCCATCCGGGAACCGGCATCTATCGGGTTTTCGAGCCCGGGCATTCCATTGTTTCCTGTCTGCTGTTCAAGTTCGTTGTTGATTGATTGTGCCATTCTATGAGTTGGTAATTTGAATGTAAGATGGACTCTTTTGCAAAGAACCAGTGTATTGTGATGCGTCAAGAAAGAGTATCAAAGAGCTCACTAATATCCTTAGCCCCACGGTGGGCGCCAAACTGTTTACCCTGGAATCCGGATAACAATTGAATTTATATGGGGTTTTAAGGATCCGTGAACTAAAAGATACAAAAGGTTTAGGTTGAGGAAAATAAAGATAAAGACTCAACAATTGCTGTTAAAGTAAATAATCACAGAATATAATATTGCTTAGAACAATTGTGCTTGATAGCGTACAAGAATTTAGAGAGATGGTACTGTAGTGTAATGGTTTTCTCCGGTCCCCTCTTTATGGGGTCTTCTCCCCTTTTATACATTCTGATTAAGGGTAAAAATAAGGTAGGTAAATTGATTACATCGTGGATCCCTGTAATTACGCCTTAATGGCCTGAAGTGGTTGAGAAAATCACCTTTGGGCGAGATATCCGGCGACGCTTGGTTATCCGTTACGAGTCCGGCTTCCGACCTTGTGTGTTTCTCCATCCGGTGGTGACTCATATCGAGCTCTGTAACGGTCTCGAAATGACTCGACCTCGGTTGTAGACGTGGCCGTCGTTCTACCTTGCATCCAGGTCGGGTTCGATGGCCCCGACTTGCCCCGGACCGGACCCAACCCGGTCGGGCTCAAGCAAAAAAGGGTATCACCCAATACAACTTTATCGAGTAGTTACGTCTTGGTAACTTTATAGCTGTAAAATGCTCATTTGGTTATAAGGAGATTGTGGCCAAAAACATTTCTAAAGTAGACCATAACCTAAATTACATCCTTATAATACTATTGCGAATTATATATATATATATATATATATATATATATATATGTGTGAACAAATACATTCTTGATATTTTTAAAAGTGAGAAAGTTTTATCCTTCATTTAGTCACTATTAAATGACTAAGGCCAAACACATAAATAATCCTGTATAGTTGGCTCCAATTTGCATTTTAACATAACGCTAATACTATCCACATAACTAAAGATAGTACTTTTAGATGCAAATCTAAATTAGGACCCCAAGCTAGGGCTATGCATAATTGGTAAATGTCAGAATTATCGTACCGAAATCGAAAATTTTAATATTTTGATATTTAGTTTAAATTATTTTTTAAAAAGAATTGGTATTAGGTATGGTATTCAATAATGAAAAATAAAATACTGAAA